AAAAAAAAAAAAAGAACTGAATGTAAAAGCATTAAAAAAAAGGAAACAGAAAGTACGATCGAGAATCTATAGTGGTTAATTTCCTCGTTGGAAAATTTCGAGAACGGACTCGTAAAAAGAGCAATAAAGAAGAATCGAACGAACGAACACCGCTGCCACGCAATAACTTCCGTCGCGCGTAACTTTTTGCCGGCCAATATAAACTACCGTTGCCAGTGTTTCAAACAATTTCAAACGATTGCAAATTTTCGAGGTGAAACGTATCGCGTGCCACGGTCGATACGCACCACGTCGTTGGATGTCGGTGCGGGTCGCAAACTACAATCGAATTCGATCGAAATTCGATTAATCGAGGGGAGACGTCGCGTTTTCACCGTTCGCGAAGCGACGGTTGTTGCAGTCATTATTTCGCGTGAAATCATTTATTTTTCGCGTCGTCGTCGTTTCTTCGGCGCCGTAAATTTATTTCTTTCTTTCGCGTTTCTCGTTTCTTCCAGCGGTGACGAGTTTTCAAAGCTGTATCGATACACGGTTCCATTAGTATCGTCAGAGTGAACGATCGCCTGTCTTCTGTTTCTCGTCTGTCTCTTCTATTTCCAACTTTCCTCTCGCGAAATACTGCTCGTATTTTTCATTGGAGAACCGAGAGTCTTTTCGGCCTTGGTATAAACTGACTTGAACCTCAGACTATCAGTAACTCTTGATCCAATCGGTATGTGATTTTGTATTTGTATAATCTCGTATTTTCAGTTCTAATTTCTTTTTTTTTTTTTAAATCTATCTAAAAACAGAAATCAATTTTTTTTACATTATTTTTCGTAATATAAATAAACAATATTACGGTCATCCGAGGGTTAATTCAAATTAAGACGAATTTCAAATTATAAAAATTGTTGAACCAGTAACGATGAAGACTTATGCTATAATTTCATGAAAAGAAATCACATGACAATTCACTTGGTCTCATTTTAAAACGTAAATTATTACTACTTTGAATTCATCTTTTATTCTCAAAAAGAAATAAATATTTTTATTCTCGAATATTTAAACGTCTCTGTAAAGTATGCACACAGAATATTAAGTATACTTTCTGGATATATTATAATAAACGAAATACGTTCTAATTAAGTCACAGATCTGCAGAATAATTTTTTTTACTTCTTTACACTTCATCATTGAATGCTCGAAAAAAAAAACATGCAACATCTATATATCGAAACACACTAAAACACACACTTAGCATTATTTATTACAATTTGAATTATGATATTTAATGTATAAAGCAAAAAAAAAAAAAGTTTCTAATTCAACGTAAAGAATTCTCGCAAATATGAGAATGCAACTTGTAATCGGAGCATTTTCCATGCAATTAGGCAGCAAAAGAGAGAAACGTAGCTGAGCAAACATCGAAGAGGAAATTCACTGTGTTGCTGGCCAAACTAGAAATTCCAGCGAACAATCTGTGCTGTGTGGAAGTCGAAAGTATCGCGAACATCCAGCAGCCAGAAGTTCTCGTTTCGATCGCGGCGTAACTCGTTTGTTCGTTCATTCGTTCGTTCGTTCGTTCGTTTGCTTTTCCAAAGTTGGCCGTGAATAAACATCCGAGAGTTTGTCATTGCTCTTGCTGAAAAACTGCGAAGCGCTCGCGTTTCGCTTGCCAGCACGGTGCTGGGAATTTCCTGGCGGGCTGTTCGCGCTGCTGATGCTGGTTTCCGGCGACGCGACGCCGCTGAATTTCCACGTTTCTCAAAGCTAATGACTCCGCAACCGCGGCGAAACTCTCCCCGAAATTACGACCCGCCGATCTTTGTTTGCACGCTGGTCTTCCGAATTAAACGCGTTTACCGCGCCACTTTGTGTCGCGAGATTACACCTACAGCACGCTTCGTTGCTCGAACGTTTCGATTCGTTGAACGATTTCGATGTCTCCCCAAAGGACTGAATTCTCTTTCGTTATCGGTATCGCGTAGGAGCGATATGAATCTGGAGAATCTCTTGTGGTATTTCACTTAGCATTAATAGCATGTTACACTTGAATAAATGTATCACAACATTTTCAAACTCGATCTTCTCGAAAACGGAATCTTCAACGAGGAAGTGTTATTCTTTCTTTTAAATTTAATTTTCCAAAATCACTTTTTGATTGATTGTATTATCAGTTACATGTTATTTTATAAATATAATAAAATATATAGAAATTATTGAAATTTTCCGCTATTTTGCAACACGGTGATTCCAATTGGATTTAGAGAGGATTATCCGGAGCAAGCAATTCGGGGACAGCTGTGAAATTCAGAATAATCGAGCGAGAGAAATACGTTTCAGCGGTGCCGGCGAGGCAGCGGTGGTGATCGAGATAGCTGGCCAACAAGACGGAGAGCGCAGCGCTCGACCAAGCGTCTCCTCGATCTCCTCGATCCTAAATCAGAGCGCCGACGACAGTGACTCCGGATTTCACGGGTTTCAATCACGGGACGATCCCAGCCACGCTTCCAACAACAATTCCAGCCCGAACAGCGTGAACACTGCCTCCTTCCCCAATCTCAGCGGTAGCAATAGCAACAGCAACACCAATAACGGGAGCAATAACAACAACAACAACAACAACAACGCCATCAACAGCGCCATTACCAACAGCGGGAACAACAACGCGGGCGACGTTCAACCAATGGTGAACGGTTGGATTCAACAACAAACGCCATACGGCGAAGCAAGCACGTCACAGCACCAACAACAGCCGCAATATGGTCAGCTGATACCGACGTCTCAACAGTTGCAACAAAGCCATCCCTATCAGCAACATCAGGCGCTGCTTCATCAACACTTGTCTCAACATCAGAATGCCAATCAACTGCATCACACCAAGCACGTGATCCAACAAGTCGCTCAGCCGCAGTCGCATTTAATCGTTGCCGGTAACGTGCAAACTGTCCAGCCTATGCCGAGAAAATTCGGCCAGCCGATATACGCGAACGCGCCGCCGAAGCCGAGAAGGCTGGCCGACGGATCGACCGAGTACTCGACCCCGTCGCCGGATCCGGACTACCGGAAGTCGCCGGTGTCGCCAGACGTAACGGTGACCAGCAAGAGCCCGATGTCGGACTACGACAGGGGTAGCATGATCTACGGTACGAGGATGACTCAGCCGTCGCAGCAGAGCCTGAGGACGGATAAATCGGGGTTGAATTACGGGTACGGGCAGCAGGTGCAAACGGAGAGGCGCACGCCCGATACGTACGGACGTAGCGCGGCGAAACCGAGGTCCAGCGCCAGGGGGAACGGCGACTACGAGGAAGTTTATGGGGCGCCTCAGCTATATCAAAGGCCAGCTGGACCAGTCGGCTATACGAAAGGGTCGTCGCCGGCTCCTATCCCGATTCCGCTGTACGCGCAACAACATCAGCAGCAGTATCAGCAGCAGATCCATTCTCCTGTCACGCCTTCCAATAGTGAGTACCTCTTCAGCGGCGAGCGTGCTTGATGTATGACGCTCGATAAGGGATATTCAAAGGTGGAAATTATTTCGGTGCCGGTGGTATTTTACTTTGAAATATCTCTCTGCTGAAATTTTGCTGACCATATCCAGTTGCTCGATTTTATACATTGGCGGAAGAACAAGTGTACTGGAATTATCGTAGTTCGTCGAGTCTAATTTATGATAACAATGAGTGATAACAATGAAAATAAGTATATAGACCGATAACTATAAGTATCGCGAAAGTAGTACTTTCCAAGTCAAATTAAAATTGGCTAACAATAGATTCGAGGAATACGCAGTTACAAAAGTATTCGAACACGCATAAGAACTTTTCAATTAACATATTATGTGTATTACATTCGTTGTATTATTGTAGAAAAAAATTAGAAAATATTTAATACAAGTATCAAATACTCATTAAACTTTAATATTCAATGAAACAATGTCTAACACATATACTTCAGATAGCTATACATACTGTGTACTAATTGTCTATTAAATATATGTTTGCCTGTATATATTTTCAAATTTTACCAATATACATAATCATGACAGTCATGCCTTATTAGAATGTTAACAAAATTTTCAAATGTTTTAAAAGTTCTTTTACAATAAGTGTTCAAC